GGGGCTCGAACCCTTGACCTTCCACACAACACAATGCGGCACTCTAACCAATTGAGCTAACCAGGTGGTAAATGTCACTGTATACTTAATTGTACAACTTTGCATTCCCTCAATTTGAAATCCTGAGCTAATATTAAAAGAGAAAATTTTCTTTGCACGTGATAATTCACTTAATTACCAGTTGCTGAATAAAATATTATTTCTTCAAAATTGAAAGCAAAGAAATAAGTCAGTTGCTTGCAAGAAGAGAACAGGCTTGGGGCAGAGGAAAATGAGATTTTAGTTTACAACAGTATAATTTGTTCAGTAAAGTAAAAATTCCATTCAAACTAAGGAATTGAGGGAACACTTCAGCCAACATCAGCACTTACATTGATGTATGTAACAGCTAGTGACAGTGATAGTTAACAATTATTGGATGAGGTGGGCAAAATATTGGGATTTGTCTGTGGCGAGCAGATCAATTATTTACCGAAGCCGAAGGCTGAGGCAAATAATTGATCTGTGAGACACTGACAAATCACGATATTTTGCAATAACTGAGTTCAATAATTGTTTTATCATTCAATCACCAAGTTTGTTTTCAATTTTTTGGAGGAAGCAGCAAGTGAGTTTGTTTTCAATTTTTTTGGGAGGAAAGTGGCAAGCGAGTTTGTTTTCAATTTTTTTGGGGAAGTGGCAACTGTGCACTGTTGCCAGAAATCAAATGATGTCCTTCTCAGTTAAATAATTTATACTGTAGACTTTAAATTGTACGTACAGTCAACTGTTAATTAACAAAATGTATGCCTTGAAATGGCTGAAATTTCCAGGAACAAGTTCACAGTCTTCAAGGATTTGAAATCCGAAAAAAAAAAAGGAAAATGTATTCAATGATGAATTAGGTTTAACACAGAAAGTTCACTTTAAAAGTTGAAAGTGCAGCTGTAAAAATTATTAACTGTCTGCTGGGTGTTAGGTTGCTTGATATTTAGCTCATTTAGAATATGCTCTTCCTGAGAGGCTATGAGAAGTGGTTGCGGTGCACTCTCAGCTACAGGAATCGAAGAGGTTGCCGTAATGGTTGTTACGGTCTTCTTGCTGTTCAACGATTCTGATAATATTTACACACAAGAGCGTGGTTACTACTGCGGATGAGCAGAATATTATTTGCAGCAAAAAACGAGTTAGATGGTAGTATGCATGAGCAGACCATTATTTGTAGGCAGTTATTTGCAGGTCATGTGGTGGGCTCCCAGCCAATGAAAATGGGGAAAAAATCCATTGAATGATAATAAAAGTTACTCTTTGCCTAACACATGCAAGAGCCTTAACATTTCTGCTGTAAGCTAATTTAAAGCTTGTGTAGCTATGAATGATGTGTTTCTCTTAATGTTTCATGCTTCAATACATTCTGTTACATAATTTTTCCGTTTTTTCCTCCTACGTCAAACTCGGACAGCATAGACTTCCTTGCATGCTTATTGGTCAAAAGCCCCCGTCAATAACTTATATTAGAATATACTAAAACAGTGGATAGCGTTGAAGGCGTGCTCTGATTGGCTAGTCAAACTCCAAATATCCTTTGCTATTTACCTCCGAGCAACTTGGGAAAAAATGGCGTCCCGGTTTGCATCTGTGACAAGCGAAGAAATCAATCAAATCAATTTTGGTGGTGTATATTATCTCACTGTTTTAGTATATACTAAAACAACTATTCACCTCAGTGTCACTGGTTAGCTGTGGATATTTACATTGCCGCTTCGCAGCTCGGTAAATATCTACTGCTAACCACCTCCACTTAGGTGAATAGTTGTTAAATAAGCAATGGACCACAATTTCTATCCATTTCTACTTTCTATCTAAGTCTAAAGAGAACTTTCTGTAAGTTATGAGCCGGAGGCAAGTGATTTTTGGTTTTTGACCTATCAGGGCACTCGTGGTGTCTCAGCTATTTTATAAAGTCGCCTAAATTAACGACCATGTGGGTATCACGAGCAAACTTTATTACACTTCAAGCGAAGGTTAGTTTGATTAACCATGCACAACTCGGAGATCAGTTTCGGACCTCTGCAATGGCGATCATTTCAATAAAAATCAACCAGGTCGATGAAAGCAAATTATATTCGAAATTTTTCCCTAAGTTGAGTAGAGTTGAACAGAATAATTTGGATATATCAACAAAGTTGAAATGGTAAATTGGCCACCGTAACGATTACAAAAGCTGACGTTTCGAGCGTTAGCCCTTCGTCGACTTTGTTGATATATCCAAATTATTTCGTTACCCCCACCGACGCAGCCCCAAACAGTTTCTTTGGAAACTATCATCCTTTAGAGTAGAACAGAGCTTGCAGGCGGCTAACAGCTAAGTTTCGGGTTACCGACGCGGCGCCGCAACATCCTTTCTCAGCAAACTTAGGCTCATCTCGTTATCAATCACAAACTAAAAGATGAATGAAGTGTGGTTGTTAAAAGACTTCTTTTTCATCTTCGTTTGTACTGTAACATTTCCGATTTTATCTTTAGTTGACTCATCTACAACGAGGAAAAATATGACATTCCCAATCGAATATTGTCAGTGATAACTACATTGTTTTTTTTCCGTGTCGAGTCCGCGTCTCTTCGACTTCCACTGAGACCACTTTTCACTGATCTGAGTTGTAGCTCGTGAGCAACTTTGTAATTCTCACAGAACTTTGACGCCAACTATGATCAAAGTCTAGACAGGCAAAATGAAATGTGTGCGTTTAAAATAATAACGATTTGTTGCACGATCATTCTGTTCAGCACAAATTACGATCGAATTGCCTTTTACGAAAACCGCCTGCGGACGATCAGCTCAGCTATCCAATGCATTGATAACATGTAGAAAGATACCAAAAACATCAAACTTACCGATACCGCAAACTGCTAGCAGCACTAAGACTACACCAGTATACGCCATTGCAATGCACTCGATAGGCAGCAACTGAATAACGCAACGAAACGTATTGATGGTCACATGACCTACGATTGCGTCTACTTCCTCTATAAGGCTTGGCTTGTAGAGTGTGGATCTTAGCCAGCTTTTCTTTCTTTCTTTCTTTTTTTTCGAAAAAAAGAAAAAAAACTTTCCCTCTTACACCTCTTGAGCACAAACCCATCAAGCCGAAAATAAGGGTTTTTCTCAGAATTTCTAATTGTGGTAGTATTGTGTCATGGATACTGAAGTAATCAAATTGCTTTAACTGAGAATTCAAAACTATCATCATAGCCGAAAAAAAAAAGAAAAAAAGAAAAATGAAAACTATGGTTTTTATGACCTATCAAATAATATTTGAAACAAAAGTGGATTGGTTCAATGCTTGTTTCAACTTCCTTACTGAGGAAATAATTAAGCTTATTTCATTTTCATGCGTGATAATTCTCCTAAAATATAAATATATTTATACTTTGCCCTAAAAAATTGGTTGGTTTGCAACAATCAAAGTGGTTTCTAGGAATTGAAAGATAAAGAAAAAGGATGAACATGAAAATGGGATCCACTATAAAATTGATCAAAGTCAGATAAAAAATTGGTTTCTCATCATATTTTTTTTTTGTTCTGTAATTCATTTAAACATAAATTTGACAATTGCAACAAAGAGGACCAGTTTTGCTAGAGACATTTGATCTTAACATTCAGAACACTTTCCTGGTCCATATTCTATAAAACAGATGCTGATGATAAAACCAAAATGAAATCCATAAGGAATGACACTCATCCATCAATTGGCTATATTTTTTCAAGAGTCAACATGTACATCAATAACTTATATATGAAGTCTTCTTAAAACAAGACAAAATCCTTGCTCTAAAAATAAGGTTCAAGATTATAGAAAATGGTTACTGGTAATAAGCAACATGGCAATACTTTTGTCTATGAATAAAAACTTAAGAGTTTTTTGTTTGCATTGTCTGTAAATGACCTCATTCATTTCTTAACTGTCTCCGAGTACAGGATGATCCTGGCGTGCTTTGAAAAGCAATGTTTTCTGTCTGTTAAGAGCTTTCTTCATGGAATCTTGATCATTCTTTACTTCAGACATTCCTTCATAGAGATTTTTCTCAAGCTCACTGATTTGTTTACTCATTACTCTTGTTTCGTCTTCTTTCTGTTTGGCTGGGAATGAATCGTCCACTGCCCGTTGTTTGAGATTCATAGCTTTGCCTCTGGTGCGGGACAATTCCAAGTTCAGCTCATTAAGGTTTGCTGTAGAATCTTGCAGCTAAAATTCAAGCAAAACATGTTAAGACTGGAAGATAAGATATCAAAATTTTTTGCTACATGACTTTCATGTCCATACCTTTTAAAAAAAAATTAAAAAAAATCAAATCAAATCAGAAAAAAATTAATTTTTAAAAATTGATCAAACATTGTTGGGAATCTTGACGATTGCAAACTATTAATCAACAAGCACTGGGATTTGGACAAAGCTCATGGGCCATATTGTGGCTAGGAGTTACTCCCAATTCTGTAGGAGGTGCAGTGGCCCATTGGTTGGTGCATTAGAATCTCAATCAGCAGGACAAAGTTCGTGTCTTAACTAAAGCACTGTGGTATATCCTTGGTAAAGAAACTTTTTTGAACCACTGAGAGGTTGTCTGTAATGCATATTAGGCCTCCTACCCAATTAATGCAAAAAAATGGATAAATGAAAAAATAAAATGAACCATCTTCAAAACCGAAAAATAATTCTTAGCATCAGACTCTCACAGTTGCACATTTCTCAGAGAAACACATTGTTAACAACACAAGATCAGGTTTGCAATTCCCTCCTCTAGCTGCTAAACTCTTCCTAGAAATTTATAACAAATGAGAGTTTAATCAAACCCTGGAATTGGTAAGTTTGTCTGTTGATAATGTTTAGATATTCTATAGAGAAATTACAAGAAAATTTATTCTGGGAGCCACAGAGTTTATTTGAAAATCAATTTTCCAAAGACCATTTCCAAGTTCCTAATGCAGCAATTTGAAAACAGACTAACTGCAAAATCTTTGTCATGAAAAATGAGTTTTACCGTCAAACCAAAACCAACATGATTCCTCAGTATTGTATTGGCTGTCCTGCACTACGCATAAAAATTACATTATCAGACGAACAATCAAGTGCACATTCTGAGAACACCATATTGTTTTTAAATCAGTGGATCAGGTCCAGAGGTATAAAGGTCTTTTAGCTCTTGAATGAGCACAGTGACCTATATTATTTTTTAATATAATTTTGGTTTAGAAATTATCCCCTTTAAATCCTAGAAATCAGAAATAAAACATCAATGGGCAAAAAAGATAAAGCTAAACTGTGCACAAAACCTGTTACTCTATGATCAGGGCTTGACACTAACGGTAGCCCACTAGCCACAGACTAGTAGAAATTCAGTTTTGGCTAGTGGTTTTCAATTTCCACTATCCAGTTTGGCTAGTAAACAGACTGAAATTGTTGTAACATCTAAAAACATCTAAGATGTCACTAGCCACTTGGCTAGTAATTTGAAAAGCTAGTGTTGAGCCCTGATGATGCAAATTATGACCTTAAAAGCGACCAATTGAGGAACGTTTAAAATCATGTGAAGGTGTAGTCTGATCGTCCGGGTGAGTGTAGTCCTGAGAAGGACTGTTGTCGGTGGTAATGACTCACGTTTCGACAAATTATGTTGTTTAAAATTGCTAGTTTTTTTCACAAATTATATATCAAATGTTCCATACACTCAAGACTTCCTACCTATCGAATCTTTTTAAAGTGTTATTTTCAAAAACCCTTACTTCTGGCAACACAAATACACCATGCACTGATGAAATATGTGATTGGTGCCAGTTCAGGCATAAATGGGATAAGACTAGCCCATTATATCTCTAACAAGCATGGCTGGAGCATATAAGAAAAGTTTAAAAATTTTTCCAATACCTTTTTATTCTAAGGAATCAGCTAAAGTGGTCACCCATGGGAATTGGTGGGGTAACCACTTAAAACAGGTTGACGGCTTAATACAGGCTTATCAGTAAATGACTTGGGTGATGTTTGTGCGTGATGTTCATACGTAATATTTGTCCAAACAGTCCAAAGAAGAAAGATAATCTTCAAAGCGTTGAGGACATTTAAACTCAAAGTACTATCATTGATACTGGGAGATAAAAATGGAAAGGATTTTACTTGAGAGATACCTCTTAATTATTATTTGAGTGTTTCCACTTTAAGTGCCAGTACAATACAGGGGAAAGAAAATACAAACAGGCTGTTGGGACTTAGTCAAGGGTGACCACAATCGCTTAATAGAGGTGACCATTTAACAAAGGTTAAAATTATAGTAATAATTGCAAAAAAAATTTCTGGACTCTGGGGCCTGACCTCTCAATGTGGGGTGACTGCCTTATACTGTGCCGCTTAATATGGGTTTGACTGTATTTGCACGAGAATAAAAGATCATCTTCATGTCAAAAGCTCTGCATTTGCTCTTGTTTACAAACAAAGAGATCTGGCATCACAGAAATTACACAGTTTGCTGACTTGAGGTGATTTGATATAAAGAAAGTACTTTCCTTTCACTAGAGAGAGTAATCAATATGTAGTTTCTCTCTACAATATTAATATAGTAAAGTAAGTAAAGTCTGTTTACGAGCCTAGTGGCCCATTAGGCAGGTGCTTAACTCTGGTTTTTGTAACATGAAGCAACTAGGAGTGTTTCTACTCCCCCCTGGATGGGATGCTAGTCCATTGCAGGGTTACCCCCAGCGTTAAATTGCCGGTACCCATTTATACACCTGGGTGGAGAGAGGCACTGTGAGAGTAAAGTGTCTTGCCTAAGAACACAACACAATGTCCCAGCCTGGGCTCGAACCTGGACCCACTCGATCCAGAGTCCAGCGCACTAACCATGAGGCCACCGCGCCAACACAGAAAATTAATGTATCGTGAGCAAATTGGTAATGAGAATAAAGATAAACATCGATGATTTATTATATGATCAAACACCAAGTTCTCATTGATAATATCATAAAAAATATATAACAGACAATTAGGAGAACTGAAACTTAGATCTCGGGAGGGAAAGTTAAAGCGCACACAGAAAACGCAAAAAGGAATTTCCTTCGTACCTTTGAGAGAGCATTTGTAACAGCTTGATCCTGGGTTTTCAGTTTCGGCGGCAACTCCACATATCCGTGTTTCTCCTGGAGCTCTTTCAACATCCCTGCCAGCTCTCGTTCGCGTAATTCCTGTAAGTATGTCTTATGAATGATCCAGGCAGCATCGATGTAAAGCTTAAGATCGCGCTTGCCCCAGTCGTTGTAAGCTCTGTCGCTACACAATTCTTCAGCTGTGTCATTCCAGAAACGCCAGTACTCTTTGGTCATCTCTGCGTCCTGTGATTCAATCTCTCGATCACTGAATATCCGTATTCCACGCGAACGGGCAAAGGGATATTTATCGTTGCCAGCACTCGTAGGTTCTGCGGTCAACACTTTCTTTGCAGGGCTTTTTTTCGACCTTTTTTTAGGTGGTTCGTCTGTCTCTTTATCTTCACCATCGACAACATCACTTTTATCTGCACTCGCCGTCGTTCCTTCCACCGTAACTCCAGCTGCTTGCTCGGATTGCTCTTCTAATTCGTCAAGAGAACGCTGAACTTCTTCTTCGACGCTAGCGCTCATCTTTTCGGTAGTCTGAGAACGTCCTTACTGCCGATCTCTGCAGCAAAACCTGAAGGGGACTCTTGCCAACAAAGATTCGATCACAGTAACCACCCCTCCTCCCCCTCCCTAAAGACATACTGGCTACCAGTCCTCAGGTTTACTAATTACGGTCCCCAAAGCGTGCAAACATGCTCAATCGTAGCAAACCTCTTTCTGGCTCGCCTGTACTTGTCAAAGGACTATAGGTTTAAGAATCATTATACAGTGAATAATATAAAAGAGAATTTTTTGGAATGTGCAAAATGTGTATCCAACGATTAAGCTTTCTATTTTTGAAGGATGGCAAAAGTGTGGCATTTAAAGCAAGATTCATGTTTTGGGTAAATCATGTCTGAATCAAAATCAGTATAAAGATAAGTTGGTAACAGTTGTGTGAAGAACAGAGAATGTAAACATTCAGCTTTCTGAATGATCCATTCCTTCCACTTACAGGATACAGCAGAATGATCTCATCAAAAATAGAATCAACTAAACTTTGCACAACAATAGCTGGGATGTAGAAAGAATCAAATCTATTTCCATGCCTGTATGCCATGCCATGCCATGCGCGACTGTAAAGAAAAGATGACATTTTCAGTTCCACCACAGGGTTGATTCTGCTACTTCTAATTTAAAGTGTTTGTAGCATTGTTTTTGCAGAATCATAAGGAAAAAATTTCTGCCAGCACTAGAAATGCAATTTTCCTAACCCATGCAATGGTAATTGAACTCTTACTACGGCTCATCCTCGGTGTAAAAACCTGTGAAGCTCACGTGTGATTTAAAACAAAGACAACAAAACATTATAAACAATAGCGCACAGCAAAACAATACGTCGTGAAACAAAGAAAACCTCGTCAGGTATTTTAAATCAAGATGACCCTTTACTACTGGCACTTAACTCCCAGGATCTGATCATTTACTCTTCCCCCTAGCTTCGACACATTTCTCTGTAACAAGATTTGGGTTTAGATCAAGAGAACCACAACTACCTGATAAGTTGGAGTATTCTCATTTCCTGTTCACTGGATAATGTGTGGAATTAAATGATCTTTTGACTAACCAAAGCATGTTCAAATTGACTGCTCAACACATGAAAATGTAGCCAAACCACAGTAATGGTCTATAAAGATTGTTTATTTCTTTATTCTCAGAAGAGCATTACTCACATTTCATTTTCATCTTCCACTAAAAAGCAGAAGCAGTTAACCCCTGAATGCACATTAATAATTACTGAATGTACTAACTAAAGCTACTCTCTTGGAACAAAAGGACCAACATATCAATGAAGACAATTTGGAGTTCACCCTTTCATTCTACAAGTGACTAGGCTCAATTCCCACCCCTCTCTCGAGTCCAGTCTTTTTCATTCCTCCCCGAGAAGGGAAGCGTGGAGTGTGGGCTATGGTTCCCAAACAGCCGCTGGCAATCGAACCTAACAAGTGACTGGCTTCTAATTTCCCCTTACAGTATCACCTTTAACCCTTCCAAGATCTCATTCATAATTCTCCTAACTGTCTGCTGTACAATTCTTATAATGTTTGTTTGGAGAAATTAGTATTTGATCCACCAATAATCCCTTCATTAATAATTTTCATTATTCTCTTCACTTGTCTGCTTGATACTGTATTGATACAGTAAGAAGAAATTCTGTCTTGGTCACTGGTGGCAGTGAAAGGGTTAAATCAAATGTAGAGGTCATGAGAATAATGAAACTGATCACTTATTTAGAAGCTTCTGATCGTCAAACAAATTCTCCTTGTCATTATCACAGGAAAGGTAATGAAATCAATGCAGAGAATACAAATACTAATGTTAGAGAGTAAAGGGTTCAGATTGCAGCCACTTTTCCAAATAACAGAAACACTTATACTTAGCTACTTGCCCTAATAACATGAATAAAGCACACAAAACATTTTTGGTTCAGTGCTTCATACACCCCTTAACTCTCAAGATATCAATTTCATTTTCTGCTATGTCTCCTTTAGATTTCTTATTTGAAATCTGAGGATACATTTTCAATCAAACAATATCCCTTGGTTGATAATCCATTCCCTTTTCCTCATCACCTCTCCGCTCAAAACTTAACTGAAATTTTAAGGAGAAATTCCTCTATTATCACTGCTGGTGGTTAAGAAAAAAAATCTCCCATAAATGTTTCCAAATTAGTAGAGCACAGAATTACCACACGATAAAAGAAAAACAAGCATTTATAAAGCATTTTCACAGCCTATTGAGGGCTGGGGTCTACCAGCACCCGGTGACCCCTAGCGCCTTACTTTTGCTCTTGGGCAACTCAGGAATTTTAGTTTTTTCATAAAAGGCATGCCTTGGGGACCCTGGATTTCACAGTTTCAGAGCACTGGGCTCCCTTCAATTTTTCTTATAGCCTACTATCCTTTTAACTCCAACGATCCAATTGTTGATTCTCCACTTTTGCTGCCACGCATTTCATTGCAAATAAATTCTGAGAATTCGTTGGTCTCAGGATAAGGTGGCAACTTTTATACCTGATAGGTTTGAGTGTTCTTATCACCTTTTTGATGGATAATGTATGGATGTCATATGGAGAAGTTACATATTAATCAACTTTGGGAGTTTAAGGGTTAGTAAGTCCAAATGATTGATATCTAATGGACCAACATGCATTGTAATCCTTTTTCATGAAAGATCAAAGAGAAAATTCTCCTAATTCCTGAGAATTTGGTGTTATATAAGGATGTTGTCCCCTTTCATAATAATTGTCTTAAACCATCCCTATAATGATTGTTGCTGATCCAGTATAAAGGTTGGCTCATGCCTGCTTGATATCCATCGCTTGATATCAATGCACTTAGCATTAGAATCCAAAATTGATACAATATAAATAGGTTATGATAAAAAAATTAGACGTGCTTTTATATCAAAAGTGTAAATTTTGAGCTCTATTCAGTCAAAAAAAAAAAAACTAGTACACAAAGATAATTTAAATAACAGTCATAATAATAATTATTATTGTCGATTTACACTCAGTGATCAATACTCTTTACTAGGTCATGGTATTCTTCTTCTGACAGAAGGTCATCTGCCAACTCCTCAACTTTCATTTTGACAAGCCAGCCTAAAAGTGAGGCAAAGGTTAGTACCAATAGATTTATTGTAAATGGTTGACACCTTGTTTCACATTTCTGTCCAACCAATCATGAAGATTTAAATAGCTCTGGCAACAAAAGTGTTGTAGGTAGTTAGAAATTGATTTCATTCTGAACAGCTTTGACCAGTTTTACACAATTTCAAAACCCCATTCACACTAATGTAAAAATAAGTTTTTATAAGCTGTAAATTACTTAAACACAGTTCAAAGGTGCTTTCTACAAAGAAGCTGCTTAAAATGATGTTTGTTGGCTTCAAACTTAGCACTAGGAAAATATTTGAACCCCCAAGTTTCTGTTGCCCACTTGCAGTTAGTTAGCTAGTTTGTACATGCATGCTCTGCTGGCGTGAATAGGGCATAAGTTTGTTTCAACCTAACATGTACTCAAACAGAAAATGATACAAATAAACCTCGAAAATGGAATTGTAAGACTTGATATATAATCACTGCATGTACCTTTATCATATGGGGATTCATTCACCAAACCAGGGCTACCTTCCAGTTCACTGTTAATATACAATGACTGCATGTACCTTTATCATATGGTGATTCATTCACCAAACCAGGGCTACCTTCCAGTTCACTGTTAATATAAAATGACTGCATGTACCTTTATCATATGGCGATTCATTCACCAAACCAGGGCTACCTTCCAGTTCACTGTTAATATAAAATGACTGCATGTACCTTTATCATATGGGGATTCATTCACCAAACCAGGGCTACCTTCCAGTTCACTGTTAATTTCACTGACTTCCCCATTTGCGGGTGAGTAAATATCTGCAGCAGCTTTGACACTTTCTAATGCACCAATTTCATCTATAAGCAAATTTAAATTCAATCCCATTTAAATAAATACAATCCTATGCTCCTTTGAGTTGTTGACCAGTTTTTACTGCTAAACTGAAGGAAATAACATGAACACAAGAAATATTTTAAGAATTTTTTTATTAAATGAACTGTCAGTGACAATCAGGATGTGCAAAAACACAACAAAACTGTGACGAATTACTTTTAATGCTTACATTATATATTCCTTACTCCCGGTTGGCTTGCTTCTCTTCACAAAACATTGTAGAAATAATTCTGATGATTATGTTTTCCTTGGCTTCATCTTAAGATATTCTTATTACATGAAACATTTCCAACTGCATGTCATAATATGAATTTGTAATTTTTGTCCCCACAAAAGCAACAAAAAAAATGTCACCACATGCAACCTCTTTAACTGTATGTTGGGTGTCTTGACAATTGCAATTAGCTCAATGGATAGAGCGCTGCACTGTTGTGCAGGAGGTCGAGGGTTTGGGCCCTAACCGGACCAACACTCAGGGTCTTAAAATAATTGAGAAGTTTGCTGCCTTTCTATAACATCAAGAAATGGTTAGATATTCTAGTCTTCTCGGATAGGGACGAATAAATGGAGGTCCTGTCTCCTGCAGGGCTGGGGTAGGAGACGTTAATTTCCCACACATGAGATTACTGTGTGATGGATGTCCTCCACTGGGGTGGGATGGGTGGGTTTATTAGGCTCGCAGTAATTGGCAGAAGCTGTTGCAGTGTCCCTGCCAGTTGGCAAAGCTATTAAATAAATAAATGAAATGGAAGAGCATCTTACCTCCTATATTAAATGTATCCCCGACTTCAGGAAGCTGAGCATAAACAACTTCTCCTAATTCTTTCTAGAAGAAAATTAAATAATGGAAAGTACATAGACTTTGCTGCATATACATATATGTAGGAGGAAATGTCACAGTTCCACTTGTGTTCAAAAGTAGTTAATTAAAAATGAACATTTTCACAAATATATCATCGGCACTTTAAATGTATAATAGAGAGATTTAGCACTGCATTTATGTGAAACGGTAAATGTCAGCTTTCCCTTTCACATTTCATGCAAGATAGTGCGAACCTTACTGCTTTAGCTCTGCGTGAGCTCATGTCAAAGTGGATTTGAAGGCGCCCTTCTATGACTTACAAGGAATAGTTTTGGTGCCCTTTTTTCAGCAATTAACTTCTTCTCTGAGTGAGAAAAAAGGGAGGAAATCTTATGTACACGGTAAACCCAAAACAGGTTACTTTCACATAGAGATGGTAAAGCGCAATTGACAAATGGAGAAAATGGCAGGAAAAACGTGCCCACGTGGTCACTCTTGCCATTGACATTTCATGTAAACACTGTGCTAAATCTTTCAAATAACTTAAAACAATAAAATGGTTGCAAGCTACCTGCGCGTAGTCTGTAACTCCAATTAATCCAATTCCATTGTCCACACTAATCCATTCGTGTTTCTTAGTGTATTTTCTGTCTTATAATTCAAGAGGAACATCATATTACCATCATTAATCAATGCTAGTATCCATTAAATAATTGAATGAGTACATGCTGTGGTTCAATTTCTTTTTCAGTTAGTTTAACATTTTTATCATACTTTTGATCCTATACAGACAAACAGTGTAAATGAGAGGTATTTTGAAAGATGCTAATAAACCCTTTTGTCTATTGCGCCAGACTGCTACATTGTAATCCCTTCTACACGCAGTTCTATCTAATCAAATGCTAATCAGCTGTATATCAATGCTAATCAGCTGTAAGAGAGGAAACAAAAAAAAAAAATATAAAAAACATTCAAAAACATGAATAATGTGCACAGTACCGAGGGTTAACCTTGTAACAGATCTGATAACACAAGCCAAGCAGTTTACGTAATATACAAACACGGACTTGAGTTCACCGGAAAACTCCTTCACGTGTAAAGTAGCCCGCGTGCTCGATGTGCTTTTCAGATTACGGTGCCTTGCAGCTTTTTGACTACATATATAAGGCCCAGCAGTTTATCCATGCTTCTAGAGAGGAACATTTAAAATATGAGGGCACCAGCCACCCTTTTGATGAAATTCCAAAAGTGCGTTACCCTTGACTGCATCAGCTACATGGACTATTTTGCGTAATACCGCGCACTAGGGTATATAGGTTACTGAAAAGATGCATCTAGATTTAAGACCTTACCAGCTAATAAACACCTTCCAACGTGAAGAAGTCGTATACTTTCAACCCTAGAACTGCAGATCACTGCCCTCTTCGTGGACACACTAAAAAGTTGAGGAACAATCCTACGAGCCTTTACCGCTAAAGTAGCCATCTTCGACCGCTGGAACAAACTGAGTTATCTGTGAAGCCCTGGGTTCGGATTCTAGTTTTCCTGCTGAAGAACATCCATGCGCATGACCGCACGTGGGTTTGATGTTCCTGGCGGCTTTCATTGCTAGCATCTAGCAGGTAGTTCACCATCTTCTGCGATAATTTGCACCTCCCAAGGACGTTAGCAGCTATTTTTTCACGTTTTGAAGCCTCAAAGTAAGTGAATAGCGTAATCGGGCAAAAATCAGCGATAACTTTTGTTGAGTCGTTTTGGCTGACATATGATCAGTGTTGATATGCAGATCTGAGTTTCTCGTTCTATTAACGAAATTTTCGTTCCAGCGTTTCAGGGTTACATCGGTTGACTTAAGGTCGTTCCACTGTATTGCTAGATCGCTACATTCAGTTGATATTTCCATGCAAAGAGGGACAAATGTGTCGATGAAATGATCGCTTGACCTCTAACACGAGCTAAATCTGTTGATAGTAGCGAAATGTTTACACTTTCGATCGATTTTCCCCATTATTTAAACTTACTTGGAAGATTACCAATCAGGCAATTGATGAACTTTACACACGATCGATTTTATCTACATTGATTTAAATGTTTGTATTTTTGAGGTCTGCATAAATTTTGAAAGCTTTTTCATCGTAGCGGAAGGTTTTCGTTATTGTTTATAAATCAGAGGCCGTATGATCTGTGTATGGAACCAAGCTGATTAACCGAACCTATGGTTTCTCATCACTGAGTGTGTCATAGCGCAAAGCACTCTGTTCCTAACAGTGAAGCCGCATGACCTTCAAAATTAGGCCACTAACTTACACTACTTGTCCAGCCAGTTCAAAACCTGAGTAGCCTTATAACTCCTATGATCTGACTGACTTCTTCCTTCTAGCTGCTACACATTTCCCGATGAATTAGTGACAAGAATTTGGTGTTAGGTAAAGATAATAGGTTTGAGTATTCTCATTACCTTTTTGCTGGCTAATATATGGAAATTGTAGTAAACAGTAAAAAGATATGTGTCAATCACTTCTGGAAGTTAATGGGATCTAATCCAGGTTTAGCTGTAGATGAGAACTTGTTGCCAGGGTCATTTGGTCTGATGAATTACTGATTGTGCTTCAGATTACCCTTCTTATCCATAACTATAATGTAGTGATTCATTGAAAGTAATGTGAAGGAAGTGTCCAATTTAGATTAAATGCCTGCTTTGTACATGAATCTGAGGCCATACATGCATGTTGGCTTTTAGAAAATTTTGAAATTGTGAGGTCTATAGAGCTTGAAATCAGTTGTAAGCTGAAGCATACAACAAGTACTTTTGTTATCTTGTATTTTTCTGACCATGATGCTAGATAAATCAATGTCTGTTGTGTTTGATGGGTACAATTTAGTCTTGGACTAATTGACACCCTAGCATCACTGATCATAATGCATATTCTCTCTATTGCTCTCTTTACATTTCCTAAGGTGCTAACAAGGAGAAAATTTAAATAATTGAGAGCTTTTTTAGTTGATGATCATTTCCTTTATTCCCGTCACCCTAATATTTGATTCAAAATGATAATGTAGGGAGAAATTATATATTGTAGTCACTCCTCTGGATAAAAAGATTAATTTATTTTGAAAATCACTGGTGGTCCCCGTAATCTGATTGGCTCTAATTGGAGCAATTTATTCACAAATTACACCAATTTTTTGCTCTAAATTGCATCATTTTACGCTTGACTGAGTTTTTGACACATGATGTCAGTCTTTCTGTTTTGTATATTTTAAAAACCGGCTCAGTACTGCATCGATAAAATATTTGAATTGACCAAGTCTTGTATTTGGGTGATTTCAAAATAGATGTAATAAAGTGGTAACCGAACCTCGTGTCGTGCAATTTTGGTCTGAAATCATACTTGTGATTTCAAATTGAATGAGTGCTATGCGCTCATTCGATTTTGAAATCACGTGTCTGATTTCAGCCTAAATTGTACTCCTCTCAGTTAAATTACCATTATTAATGACCATTTACTTACAATATTCTCTCTGATTCTTTCAGGTCACCATGCATCTGTATGCATTGACTCTTCAGAAAGCATCCACCATTAATCATGCAATCCATGGTAATTTCTCAGGCTCTAAGCAGCAGGAGATTGTTATTTCCAGAGGAAAGATCATTGAGCTTCTTCGTCCTGACCCCAACACTGGCAAGGTGTTTCCTCTGCTAGCCATGGAAATGTTTGGTGTTATTAGAGATCTCATTGCTTTTAGACTCACTGGAGGTTCAAAGGGTGAGTGTTAGTACAAGAACGTGTTGTATGTCTGTTTATGAGCCAAGTGACCCATCAGGCTGGTGCTTAACTTGAGTTTCTGAAGCATGAAGCGACTAGGAGTAATTCTACTCCCTGCTGGATGGGATGCCAGTCCATTGCAGGGTTACCCCCTAGCATTAGATTTACCAACACCCATTTAAAAACCTGGGTGAAGAGAGGCACTGTGAGAGTAAAATGGCTTGCCTAAGAACACAACACAACGTCCCTGGCCAGGGCTCAAACCCAGACCACTCGATCCAGTGTAGAGCGCGCTAACCATGAGGCCACTGCATCTCCCATTAACTGTTGTAGTTATCACAATTATTTCAATATACTTCTCTTTGAATATCTATTCTTTATTTTAGATTATGTGGTGGTTGGAAGTGATTCTGGAAGGATAGTTATTCTTGAATACATACCTTCAAAGAATACTTTTGAGAAGGTAATTAAAGCATGGTAGTAAATTTGTGTATATCATGGGAATTGGAAAGCTGGTTAAAAATGTTTATGTCTCTGCCATCTGTCTTATTTTTAGGTTCATCAGGAAACATTTGGTAAAAGTGGTTGTCGCCGTATTGTTCCAGGCCAGTACTTAGCTGTTGACCCCAAAGGTCGAGCTATTTTGATTGGTATGTTTAATGCAATTCTCAGTATGAAAGAAAACAAACTCAGTAAAGATATCAGCAAGACTAACAAGACGAGAAGAAGAGAGGAGTCAGTGAATCATTATATTTCACTTGCATGCACTTGTAGCTTTTTACATTACTCTAGTTGGTCACTTAATGAAAAAAAATTAATGATTTTTTGTCAGTTAACAGAAAGTTGAGTTTGTGGTTATTGTTCTTTGTGAGGATTGATGTCACATTTAGATGAATCAAATAAAAAAATAGATTGCAATGATAGGACAATAGTGATTAAATGATGATGATCATGTACATTGTTAACTGATAAACAAACTACAAAAAATATGAAGATCAGAAATATTTTTGGAAAGTTTGAGAAAAGGAAGCTAAACAGATATAATCATTAACCTTGTAGTTCCCAGGAGTGATTGACATGTAAGTTCTCCCTATAATATCCATACATACATTGTCCAGCCAACAGGTAATGAGAATACTCAAACCTAACAGGTAAAAGTTGTTATCTTGGTCTGACACCAAATACCGGGAACTACTTTACAACTGAAGGAAATTTGTAGTGGCTAGATAGGAGAATTAAAAATCAGATCTTAGTAGTTATAGGGTCATCAGTCATAGGTTGTGGTGTTGTGGTTTCCTTGTATGTTCTAATCTCATGTGTGACTGGTAGTGATGCAGTAAACATTCTAGAGATGATATTCACTAATAAAAAATGTTTATTGGTTTCAGAGTTTGACAGTCATTTTCAATTAATAATGGAAATAATGTAAAAAATCTCATGCATCTTCCAGGTGCTGTGGAAAAACAGAAGTTAGTTTATATCCTGAACAGAGATGCTGCTGCTCGTCTCACAATTTCATCTCCTCTTGAGGCTCACAAATCCCACACACTGGTCTATCATACTGTGGGGGTTGATGTTGGGTTTGAAAATCCAATGTTTGCCTGTTTAGAGATGGATTATGAGGTAGTTATTTTGTTCCATGCACTGAAGAATAATAGTGAAAACTGATTATGATTTTAAGATTTGCATTGATATAAATTTACATGTAGGCTCCTTAAAAAAGCTGACTGAAAAGGGTAATTAGTACACATTAATTAAGAAAATTTGATTATTCACTTGACATTTTTTGAATGAACATTTGGGAGATTTTCAACAGCATCGAGGAGTTCTTCTTAATTGGAGGAAAGCTAAACTGGAATTTTTGAAGCAAGAAATGACTTACAGTATATGAGTGTTGGGCCACAAGAATTTCACTTGTTTACAGCAGTCACCAAACATGTGTTGGCACATCATTGGAAATGAAAGACATTTTTGGTGCTTCCTGTTTACCTTTTTTTAATTCCATTATCATTGTTGTTTCCCCTATTCTTATCTTATCCCTATCACTCTTTTTATTAGTATTGTTATCATTATCACAGTAGTTCATAGCATTTAATGATGGACATTTGTATATTTAGGATGCAGATACTGACCCCACTGGAGAAGCTGTACATACCACTCAACAAACCCTGACATTTTATGAACTGGATCTGGGCTTGAACCATGTGGTGCGTAAATATAGTGAACCTCTTGAAGAACATGGAAACCTTCTCATAGCAGTACCTGGAGGAAATGACGGGCCAAGTGGAGTACTGGTTTGCTCTGAAAACTACATCACGTACAAAAATTTTGGTGATCAGCTAGATATTCGCATGCCCATACCACGAAGAAAGGTTTGTGAACCTGAAACCATGTTGTGTCTGTGACCTAACAATGGGTAACTCAATTGCTTGTAAGTTAGTTGCAGCGACTTAAACATTTTTTTTCCATTTGAGTTTGTTTTCTTTGTTTGTTTTCAGTATGATCTGGATGACCCAGAACGTGGCATGATCTTTGTGTGTTGGGCAACTCACAAAACCAAGGTAGTACATAATTTATACAAGGTGTATGTTTGATACTCAGTTACTTGGTAATATTATGAAAACATTATAACTGCTTTCAGCCTAATTTTTCAATACACTTGTTTGCTTTACACATAATTTGTTTTAATGAATGTACATTTGTATGCTAACACGGCCGTGATTTTCAGCAATAACT